GCACCTCCATAAACTTGGTGGTGTGCTACATTTTTAAGCCGCATGAAAAACGGGTCTGTGCATGTCCATGTGGCTTCATTATGCTGCACTGATATGTCACACACCATATGTGTGTGACTCCAGAAACCTGCACAAAATGATGTGCATGTACATGTCTGCCTCTGTGAGTGCACAGTTTGAACAACACACATTTTATGCATATGTTAAGGGCTTTTCAATCTAATGACTCAAAAGGTTTTGTCTGTTTATTAGTTCATCTCTGAAGATAGTGAAGCCAATCCATGTCTCATTATTTAATATCAAATATTTTTTGGAATACAAGAGGGGATTACAAATGTCTGTGTTTATTTTAAATCTTAAAATGGATAATTAAACATTTCTTGAGCCTCTTGACTGTAGCCAAGCTCATGATGCACTCACACTAGGGTTTGCATACTAACTCTTGATGTTAAGATTAGTTGTGTAGTTAAATACCGAAAAGCTTGTTATTTTTTAATTTGACAAGTCACACTATATTTAAACTATATTCATGTTGCTCACTGGTCTATATATGGATTGTAGTTTCATTATTTGATTTAGGGATCACTGGTTAATTTTTTTGTAGCACAAGTAGCCAGTAATTTATTATTTTTTTAAACCAGCCCCAAAAAAGATGGTTCTGGTTCCTAGCTCTGAGGAAATTTTGGTGAACTAATTCATAAACACTTTATTGATGGTGTATCAGTTACTTACTTCAGCTCAGTTGAACATAAACTGCCTCGTCAGCACAACACAGACCTTTAAATAGCGAATTTATTTACCAGCTCAAGATATTTTCACTAAATGACCCATATACAAAAAACATAGATCTATTAGAGAAAATACACAAATAAGAATTATAACTATTAGTCAACCTTTTGGGCACATCCACTCATTTAAAATGTATAAATAAGTGGGCTTAAAGGCATACAGCACAAATTATGTGGGTGCTTCTGGGCTGAGCACCAACATGAGTGATGGTAGAAACTTAGCATGCTCTGAAAAGTCACTTTTATTGCGGTTTATACGTAAAGATATATGAAAGATATATCAAATCTCCAATTTCTTTTTAAGTAAAGGTATATTGAACCTCCAATTCCTAGTTGGTGACTTGACCATCGTCAACAACTGACCGGTAGTCTGCCCCTGGTCTGAAAGGAAGCCTGTGATCCAGATGTGATCCACCAGGAAATCCAACAGAACCATTTTTTAATGGGCAGTGTGCCTTCAAAGTTCTACTTACATGTGCAGGTTAACAGCTATTAATGCAATAGTTGTGACGCACAAAGAAAACCTAAATAAAAATCCCTAGTTTTAAAGTTTTATGCTGGAAAATGCAGGCAGACCTGTCAAACATCAGCACTCTTCTGCTACAAACCCATGTTTTTGTAACTGATCCGGTACAGACTACTGCACGGATGTGAAATGTGCAAGGCCTCCCCATAGAAAGACTATCTAAATACGAGCATATGCATATCTTACAACATGAAAAGTGTTTTATTGAATGTGCAGGTTGCCACTTCCAACTTTGCATAATCAGAAATGTAGTACGTATACTAAACTGGGGGTTCCTTTTAAGAAGATTTAGAGGAAGCAGCCTTTCATTTTCATACCCTCTCCAAGCCATGTAAATAGATTCACATTCTGAGTGTACTCTGTCATACGTGCATGTACACATGTTTCTGCAAGTGCTTCACTGTTCAAGACAGGATATGTGGGAAAAAAGTCCATGCTGTTCAATGGTGAATGCTGAAAACCCTAGAGAATTAAAAATAGATGCTTCCCAATGTGCTTGAAAGATTGCTCCAATGCTCCTATGCACTAGCACTTCCTTTTAACAAGGTTATGGACACAACAGGACATATCATATGTGACTGCTGGTAAGTGAATCTGTGCAATAAAATGGATTTCAGTTGTCAGTTACTCAGGATATTCCTCCTCAGAGGGGACTCATTGAAATTCAATGGGTACATTAGTTATCTGACTGTGAGCCCAGTGGGTACACAGTGTTACGCCGCTGCTGCTTTTCCATTAATTTTTATCTGACGGGACAAAAGTTTTCTTTTCATGAATTTCCTTCTGTTTTTTTTCTTTTAAAGAAACACTGGGTATAGCAGCAATTGGAATGACAATGCCCCAAAATAACACAAACACCGTATCTCTTAAATCGTAGGTTCACTCGTGGTCACGGGTGACAAACAAATGCTGACATTGAGTCAGGGATTGCAGAAATTCATGGCATTCTGTCATATTAATGAGGACATTAACGTGTCCGGCAAATCACCCACTGCAGAGCGAACACCCACTAAAAGCCTATCGGACTTTCTTTGAAGATAACACAGTTTGTCAAGATGTGATTCCCGAGGCTGTTGTTTTGTCTAAAAGGTTAAGTAATAATTCATCCATCTCTTTAAAATGGAGGGAGAGCCCATTGTCACATCCCAAGGCCTGGTCAAAAGCTCCTGGATCAGTTTTGAATGGCCAATGTGCTTCCAAGGGTCTACTCTTGGATGAGTAGGTTTGATAAAGCCATCAGTGAAAAGGTCACAGGATGCCATGGTAACCTGAAAAATACCAGGAAAGTCTTTATATGCAACACCTGCCTGTGTAATCTTTATAAATTAGCACAGAGTGAAACCGTAATGTCAAAACATGAGCCGAAAAAAAGAGCTGAATCAGCAGCCGTGAGGTTATGATGTCCTTTCACTAACTAATGATGACTCAGCACTTTAGAATACCATGGTTTCAACACTGGGCAGTTTTAACATCAGGTACACCTATTCAACCCATTTTTGTGTGCTATTGTACAGTTGAATAACTTTCTTTTCCAGACAGTATCTGTTCTTGGACTTGGATTTTGTGAAATAAGTTTAGAAAAAATGCAATTTGTAGTATAGGAATCTACTGGACAGAAAGTAAAAGCTTAGAATTTGAAAATCGAGCCAACTTGTAGTGTTTTACTGATGCTATTGGTGCTGTAGTGACAAGGGTTAATGATCACTACAAGGGAACAAGGAAAAAGCTGCAAAGAATGTAGGAAAGATGCATAGCTATGCATAAAAAAGTGTCACTTCAGCCTAAAAGTGAACAAGGCCTCGCTCTCCATCAGAATAACCGAAAATTGTTTCACTAAACCACGTCGTCAAACAGTCTGGCTCTTGTTAAAGGAGTAATAATGTGAATAGGACTAAAAGAAATATGTGGACTCTATAGAAATCTGCCTGATTTACTTTGTTAATTTAAATAAATTATTTTGGTTATTACTGGCTTTTGATTTTGGCTATTTTGTGACAACCTCCCCTGTTTTCTGCTATTATCCTCCTCAGGCTTTCTCTACTTTATTCTTTTTTTATCCTTTCTCTACCTCTAGACCACATCCAGCCTCAGGCTATCCATTAGATCTTCATATTAGCACGACATCATTCCACTGTCGCCGTAATGACTGCAGGGACACGGCAAATCTGTTCATTTGCTTTTAGGTCGATTCTCCACACTTTACAACCCCCATTTTTTCCCCTCCGTATGTTGCCGGTAGGATTTATTACCACCTATCCGCAGCCCCGCTGTATCTTTGATGCGGCTGGGGGCTCATTTGAACCGCAAAAAAGCCGGAGATGTGACAGCTAATCTGCCCACATGTAAAAGCTTAATCCACATTGATCTACTCATGATCAGATCAGAGGAGATTAGATAATGCTTGTTCACCAAAGACACCCCGCCGTCCCAATCCACATTAACCTCTTAAAGTAAGAACCAGGGGAGGCTTGTTGAATCACCTCGTTGCCTTAAGTATCTCCAAAAACCTGCTTGAGAAAATAATAAATGATATCAACGATAATGTATTTTGTGCTATTTTATGTTGCATGTTCAAGGAGATTGGAAAAAAGTAGCTAATACCATAGTAATAATAGGTCAAGAACCAAGCAGAACTGTCCTAAGTGGACTATCTGTAATAGGAGTTCTAGCATCTGTGTTCATTCTAAAGCAATTCAGAGTTAATATATGTGATCTACATAATAAACGGGTGGATGAATGATAATATTTCTACACTGTGAGTACAAAGTACAAAAATAAAAAAAGAATATCAGAGAAAAACCTCTTTCCCTTCTCCAACTTCTAGGATTCCAAACTGTTGAAAAAAATATGCATTTATTACACAAATCAAATTAAGAAACATGTGCGTGTTTGTGTCATTAATATCTTAATAACAATGCAACACATTCACACAACCCATCACAACCATTCAATGAATAATTTCTTGAGCATTTTATATTTTTTCTTCTTTAGAAAAAGGTCCTGTAAACCCATTCCACCCCTCAAACAAAGTACTTTAGACACGTCAACTAGATTATTCTCTAAATAATTCAAATTATATTTTATAAATATAAATTCATTATGACAAAATTTATTTGAAATGCAAAAAAATGTGCCTTAAAGAAGCACATAAAATGCTTGATTTTCCAACTGTTCTCACATAATTTTATTCTATTATTTAATCAACTTTAATTCTTAATGTAGTATGCTCATTTGATATCTAAAGAAGGTCTTTTTTGTCACTTCCAGTGCACTAATAGATGAGAAGCTATACATGAATACATTTATTTGTTCAAAATGATCTTGCATTCTTTGTTTGTTGTTTTTTTCCTGTGTTTTCAGGCCACATACAAGTATGAGGCGAGCTTCTTCTTCTTTTTTAAAAAAAAAAAGTAGCTCGGTGTGTGTGTCAGAAGCAGTGCAAAGGGTAGATTACCGAGATGGAGAAGAGGATCTTCCATTATAGATCTGACCCAAGGGGTCACACACACCAGAAAGCACGCGTGCACACACAGTAAGCCGGAGAGAAGTTGACCATTAGTATCCTCTCCATCATACCACCTGCTGACTACACTTGCCTCGCTCTGATTTATCTTCTCTTGCTGACTGTCTGGTTGTGTGTCTCGCCCTCTTTGGAGCAAATCTGTGAAATCAGTCATGTATTGTACCGCTCCCGGTTCCAAAATGATTTCGGGGAATCGGTGACCTGTGCTGATGCTGTTCGCTCGGAGCTGATGCTGCCTTTTTTGTCAACAGTTTTAGCATTTGGGGCTGACAGTTTACTGTAAAGAGACAATTAAATTTAATTCTGTTATAATCTCTATGGGGATTATCTCAAATAATTAAGTTTAAAATGGCCTGCATTTGTTCATTATTAATTGAGTTGTTCTAATATTCGTTTTTCGTTAAACTTTCAAATAATATTGAAATTAAAACAAACCAAGTTCTCCTAAAAGGAAATCTAAAGCTGATGCTGCTTTTTTATCAACAATTTTAGCATTTGGCCTGACAGTATACTGTAAAGAGACTGTGAAATTGAATTCTGTTATAATCTCTATGGGGATTATTTAAATTTAAAAGGGCCTGCATTTGTTCATTATTAATTGGATTATTTATTTGATTTTTTTGTTAAATTTTCAAATAATATTGAAATTAAAACAAACCAAATTTTCCTTAAAATAAATGAATTGGGTTTATCTAATCTTTGATTTGGTTGTTAAAATTCCAAATAATATTGAAATGAAAACAAACCAAATTCTCCTAAAAAGAAATCGAATATAACATATTATTTTGTAGAAGTTTTTTAGTTTCTCATCCCATCCTATGCTTGAGTTCCAGCAACATGCTTCATAGACAAAAGTAAGGTTGAGCCTAACCCTTCAATCCTAAATTGTTATTGTCTTATTCACTAAAAAACACAGGGCTTCAATCAAACGTAAAATAATCCTGAAGTTTATTGTTGCATCAAATCTAAAAACAAAGTTCAGACAATGATGACGAAACAGTGGAATGTCGGTGATGATTATTAGAAAGAGGCTGAGGAACAAGTCTGCAACTATTCATCCCAAATTGCGACATATCAGCAACACAACTGGGTCTCAAAAAAGCACCTGAGAGGAAGAGTCTGGAAGAGGAACTGTGGGCAAAGGCTTAGTGATAAAAAAAAAAACGGAATTTACAAATTGTGGATATATCTTAATGTTCATCAAGATGAAACTGCGAAAAATTAAATTTTTTTATCATTTGCAATAAATATGATTAACATAAGTAACAAAATCTGGAGCAATGTTTGTGTGCAAAATCGCCAAGTTGCTTATGATCTTTTGGCTTTTTGCTTTTTGCTTTTTTCCATTAGTGCCTACTAAGCCCTACATGATTTTGGTAGTTATCAATTACAAATTAAACCCGAGCAGAAAGACGTATATCTATCTAATAATCTGGCTGTCTAATCATGTGACTCCCTGGCCAATCAGCGTCCGGCTGACTGCCGGTCATCTCAATTAAATCACTACTAAATCAAGTATGAATACAATCCAGAAACATTGTTATCTTCTTGGAAACTTATTTAACCCTAAAATAAACCAGATGAAAGAAAAAATATTAAAAAATAATATATTTTTCATCTAAGTCTTTGTTTGCGTCTTTGACAAAATGTAAAAATAATGAAAAAACAAATGTAATCCGTTGCAGTTCTTTTTTTCCAAGATAAAGCTTTATCAGTGTTTTCTGCTGAGATATTTGTTTTTTCAACCGAGATAGAGGCTTTAAAGCTCGCTGGGCTCCAGATTTCCTCATTTAACCTTAATACACACCATCAGGGTCCTACCCTCTGAGGAGCTTTTTGTTCTGATATCAGTGGCCTTTGTTTCCTCCTTTCTTAAAGTGATCATTTAAACCGGGATTCTCTCTGGTAATGCTTAGTTCCGACCATTCGGATGACTTTTCAAGCCCTGCTAACTCTTTGTAAGTACTTGCCGACAGTTGACCTCATTGTGCTCTCCTAGTGGTTGCCATTTGTCTTTGGGATCCCAAGGTATTCGTATCGGTCTTGAACATTTGTCATGCTGCCCACGGGGAGATAAACCAATCTAGTTGTGATCACCGTGACTCTCTTGACTTAGTTCTGGTGACACGTTTCTAGTATGAGTGATAATCTGGTGTCCCTACTGTACATCATGCTATCTAGCTCAGTTTGGCATCCATGTAGAGGAGGTGGTGGTTGACGGTGTCTCCATGTTGATTTTCTTTGTAATGATGCGTTTGGGGGGTTCTGTTTGATTCAGAGCAGAAGTGGGAACATTCTGTTTCCTTGCTGGATATCACTCTTAATGTTAAATTGTGCATTTGGCTAGAAAATGCACAAAAATGTACGATGTAAACATTTGGACACAAATATGTATGGGTGTGAATTATTTAGTTTTTATATTTCTATAAAAACTATATTTTTATTTCTATATTTTTATATATTTCTATTGTTTTGCAACACTCCTGAGGAAATTTATGACTACAATTGTAAAAAAATCCATTAATTAATTACATACTTTTGATTTTAATCCCAACTTAAAGAAAAACGTGTTTTTTTTTTACATCATTGGTGTTTTTAAAGCTAATATTTATCAACCTTCTTACTGTTGTAGGATGCACAAAAAAGAAAGCGTATTTTTCTGTGTAATTGATAATGAATATATCACTTAACCAGGGACTGCTGGCTTTAAAGCCTGAAGGTGCAAGTGAAGCAATTTCGATATCAAATGGATTGTTAAGGCATGCCCGTGAATTCCAAGTAGCTGAGATCGGTGACTGGTCCCTGGGAGTGATCAGGAAGAGCCTAAAGTTGTTCCCTCACTTGACCATAGCGTTGTGGGCTTCCGTATGAGACATTTAAGCCTGCGCACGTCCTTTTGTTTTTTGGATGACACGACCCATCTCAGTCCTCTGTCCTGTTTATTCCAAGTCTTGTCTCCATTAGTAAATCCATCCATCGTCTTAGATGGACCTATTCCGGCTGTCATTTGACCCCGGAGAAGTTACCGGTCCATCACAGGGACACACAAAAACAAAAACACTTGCTACTATGGGTATTAGTGTTTATTCTTCAATTGACATTAACTAACAAGCATGTTTTTGGATTGTGGGAGAACGGAAGAGTACCTAGAGAGAACCCACAAATGCCTAAGGAACGCAAACTCCCCACAAAAAAAGGCCCCCGGTGTCAACCGGGAATCCAATTTGATTTGTGTATAATCATTGTGCAGTTAGCTGTGTAATGCTGGCGAGCCGTGTGGGTTCCGTCTTCATTCTCTCCACACATCATTTTCATTCATTTCCACTCTCAGCGTATTTTACTCGAGTGTGACTGCGAGTGTGTATGACTGTGTGTGTGTGTGTGTGGGTGAGAGAGAGAGGGAAAGATAGAGGAATAGAGAGAGAGGGATGCTGTTTCCCAGTCTTCCCACGTGCTGCTGGTCTGCAGTAGCCAGCTGTTCCAGGAGGCCATTCAGCTAAATGTCTGATCGATAGGTGTTGGCAGCTCTGCTTCAGCTTTGGCCAGAATACTAGCATACTGAGGAAGAGGAGGCAGGGACTAAAGACATTCCACATATACATCAGTTTCTGTGTATCTGTTTATTATGGGGACGTCCTTAATTACTGACTGATTACTGTGTATCCTTATCGATATCGTCCTAAAAAAATGGTTATCAGACCATTGAATGTCGGTTATTAGTAGTTATCACACACATATAATGGCTTCATACTGTGGGTCCTGTACCTCCTATCAGGCTCAGTAGGCTTTTATCACCACATAATAAGGTACATTTGAAGCGGGGTGGATGATTGAACAGACCGTGATGAATCCTGATCCAGATTCCAACCAGGGTTGCCAGGTCTGACCGACGGTTTCAAAAACCACCCAACTCCAAAAAAACACCAGCCTTAGATTCAAAGTGGAACCAGGTCCCATTGGAAATAGAAAAGGAGTTCATTCTTGGAACACTCTTTAGATTTTTTTTCGTGGCTCCATGTCTTTCAAATCAGGATTATTAACCAATGACTATTAATCCTTGATGGTATGTTTGACATATTCTACACATTTCAAAATAATGTATCTCCACCTTGCTTTGCGTAGAGCATTTGGACCAGAATGTTGCTCATACTAAATAAAAAGAACCCCCCCCCAAAACCCTCATATCCTCTCTTAATTAATTATTTTACTATACTAATGACTGTTACATCTGGAATTAATTTTACAGTAAATGGTTAATATGCTTCTTAAAATGAGTAGCTTTTAAATAAAGTTTTTTTTTAAAAAGCTCCTGGTTTTAGATGTAGGCAAAGCCACTTGGTTCAAATTTACCTCATTATTTGGTGAAAACAACCTACCTCATTCTTTGTTCCAAGAATCATACTGATATTAGAGATGCAATAGTTATGTTGTCAGTATTCTATAACATAGATTTTTATCAGAGCATTTATGTCCATAAAATAAGCCATTTTTCTCAAACAAAAGCCTTCAGATTTGAAAGTAAAAGAAACCACCTATATTAGTTTTGCTGGATGTTTTTATCTTTATTTTTATATTTATCGCTTATTTTATTCCAAGGATATCCAAGAAAATTTTAACTTCAACATACTTAACATGACATAATTGTTTCTTAAAAGCTATGTTGATCATGTTTAAAATGTCAAACATTTCCTAGTGTTCCTACTTGCGTACATACTGTCCATAAAAAACAGTTATCACTTTTTCAAGTTGATCAGTCTTCTGAGACATTTTCAGTTAACAGTTTTTAAATGCCACAACACATTTGGATATTTAGCTATTGCACAGTGCAAGCCACAAATAGCAACTAGCATTTGATGACTAAGCAAAAATAGCTGTATATGCTTTACGAAGTACATTGATTTTACAACCATTTGGAAATTAGCATATAGTATTCCCTTATATGCTGTGTGTTTCTTTGTATGGTGATGGTATGATCTTGAGGGCACAGCAT